TCACCGGAAGGAGGCTATCCCGAACCTGAATCAAAACGAATCCGTTACTGATTCCATCTCCCTTCCTCTCGTACCTATCATCTATCTTTCCTTCTTCCTAATATTCTCACCTTGTTCTCCCTTTCATCCTCATTTTATACGACCTTCGACCGGTTTGATTCTCTGTCAACTTTTCGGGAAGATGAACAATATTCAACGGATTGGACAACATGAAGAACAGGTAGGATGGAGACAAGCAAGAGATCATCTGGGAAATTGGATGAAAAAAAAGGTTTAGTATGTACACATTTTGTTGCTTATGAAAAACAGCATGAATATTCCCAGACGTCCCCTTTTTTGAAGGATGGATTTGAGGAAGAGGGTAAGTTATGGTAGGTGTTTCTCAGCTGGCTTTGTCGGCAATGAAACATCTATCAATTCTCCCTCAATCATTTATCTATCATTTGCAAATCATCTACTCTCAACTAACGAGTGTTCTGTTGGTCTTTGTATCTCAGTGAGTATGTTAAGTTTCCTTCCATCTTACCTCTTCTAGATGGATCAGACCTTCTATGTGTCCATCTACGATCTGCGTAAAATGGGGGACAGGGGACATTCACATCTACAATCAGTGAGTATTGTAGGTGGTTTTCTTGATTTTTGTCCACTTTCTCCTCGACTATTGCAAATCCAGAAATTTTTGATACTCGTACAGTTCAATTTGAGCGTGAGTATCGTAGGTGTTTCATCATACCTACATTTCCTGGCTCCTGGCAAATTTACTCAAAGATCTTGTTCTGACCGGTCAATCATCTTACTACCATTTCTGCGAGGGAGAGAGGATGGAAAAAATCCGGAAAATCATGCATCACTCGTGATCATTTCGTGAGGGTATATCTGATCGTGACGTTTGTACGGGACCATTTCCATTGTATCGCATCTCAGACCGATATTGCCATGACAGTTTTCTTTTTATTTTGGGAGCGAAATCGTCTCATCATGCCCATGAATGAGATTTGACATTCGAGATTATGGAGGTAAGGTGACAATTAAAAGATGTCTAAAAAGCTTTTTTGTGAATGATATCGGGATCTTCTTTGTATTCATCCGCTGAAACCCACATCTATCCATCAGTCACCGATTTTACAAGGTCTGAAAAGATTGAATGTCGAGGGACGAGTGGTATAAGATGGGTTGGTACAAGGGGTAAGAGGGTAAACCGAAGAGACGAACCTTTTTGAAAGTACTCAATCCAGCGAGAATACTACCTCCTATCCAAGTGGAATACTATACATCAGCTTGAAACGCAATGGTTTGCAGAAAGCTGACCTTGCGTTCAGGAGGAGCATATATTTTGAGTTTGACATCTTTCAAAGCTAGTTTTTTCACTTCGTTTAATAATCTATCTCCGAATCCTACATCGTTAGTTATGTTTACCCTCGCCTACCTCTGATCATCCATTCCCCTCAATCCCCCAGTTCCCCTAACAGTGATGCTTCGAAGTCATCCGCGACCCTCCAATTCTCGTCACACACTGCGGAAGAAGCCCCCATCAAGTGATTGCAGGGATATGGATTTGACCAAATTTCAAATACCTGATAGAACAGGTATATGTACGCTTGAGGCTATATAGGAGAAGCAAAAAACTTACCAGTACATAAAGTAGATCCACCAGAAAGAACGATATTACTAAATAAACTCTTCCTCAAATCCATATCCGTCCGATTGATAGAATCCACAATGACCTAGAAGGGTTAAGAAAGCAATTGCAAATTTGATTGGTGGGACTGACTTGATGAACACCAGGATATTCTTGTCCTATCAACTCTGGATGAAATAGAATTTCAGGAGCTAAAAACCGTTCGGTACCTAATTGAATAACTTTTCCATCGGGTAATCTGAATTCTTCCCATGCACCCGCATGATCTTTTTCTTCTTTTGCAGGATTAAGAGCGAGGTAACAAGTTTTCTCCTTGATAGTTCTTACTACTTCTTTTTCGGCTGAAGTATGGAGATAATAACCCGCTTTACGGAGTAAAAGTTGGAGGTGTTCAGTTACGTCTCTATGAAATGAGCTCAAAACTAAATTGGATTCTCTCAAATGTCTCGATACCATCCACAGTTTGATAAATGCCCCAGGAGATCCACTTCTGGCCTCATGGAGTCAAAATTGAGAACAAAGGTAGATAGATGATGATGATCCACTTGTCAAAGTGATGGACGATGATGTAAGTAGATTAAGGGAAGGGAAATTCAATGACTTACCTCCCGGCAAGATCTATTCGTCTGATAGCATGAGGCATTGAAAACCCTTCGAAAACAGGGACGGCATGTGTGACTCCATCACCTGAATCTAACACTATTCCAGTAGTTCTTCCTGACGAATATCTCCGAGTCAGCTCTTAGAGTATCGACAAACAGCTACAGAAAACCAAACCCACAGACTGAGAACTGCTTGAACACTGGTGAAGAATGCTGGAACGTTGAAAGTTTCGAAAAATATCTGAGCGGCTACATCCCTATTTTGTCGAGGGTTGAGAGGTGCTTCAGTCAATAAGACAGGATGCTAAGAATGAGCTCGAAAACATTTCTCCTAGTATCCCGGCACACTTTGGCCAAGCTCGTCGTTCCTTTTCACGATTCTGTCTTGATACTTCTTTAAGACGATAGTTTTACGTAGGCTTGTGTATAAGATGGGAACAAGGTCGATGTGGTCCGGGGTGAAATGACGACCAGCAGAAGAATCTACGAAATAGGAGAAAGAAAATGGAGGGATCATATGTACTCAGAGAAAGAAAGTCAACACACTTCCTCCGATAAAGCCTTTAAACCTTCTCCATACACCCAACTCCATATTCTCTCCATATCATCCCAATCATTGACGATACCATGTTCCATAGGATATTTGATTTTTAACAAACCCCTCAGTTCTTGTGCTCGACGTCCTATGAAAAGGTTTTCTTGAATAGCACCAGCCATAATCCTCGGATGTTTCGGTCTTCCTACGCTGTGGATCAGTCGTCATATTCACCTTGACCTCAATCTCTCTCCACCTCGTCAGACTACACCGCTGAGATTCTGTAGCAGGATATGTAGGCATCTGTCTGAGCCCTGGTGCAAGCCTTTGAAGATAAGTTCCCTCCGTTCTTGAAGGTCAGGGATATGAAGGCGATATATGTGAAGAGCATTAAATTGAAGAAGAAAGGTTGACCCACAAAGAAGGTATATAACATGATGGTTGTTCTTCCCCCGCGAAACCAGCTTTGATCGTCCCGGATCCCTTGGCCGTCAGCTCAACTAATTTCCCAATTCTGAGCTCACATTGTCAATCACGACAGGTTGGTTTGTCAGTCTACACCCATCAGTTCATCCGTGATACTCTATAATTGGAGGGATAAGCTCACACGTCGTCGAATTCCGTCGCCATGGTTAGACGTGGACTGGTGAGAGGAGACGAGGTGGAGGAAGTCTCGCGTTGTATGGGAAGTTTTAGTTGGGGATTGAATAAGTTTTGACCTCCGCACTCTCCCATAGGTGGCAACGATAGACGATCTACTCGTACTCGCGTACTCCTTCACAAGTGTCTTCTCAAGTACACAGCGGTGGAAGGAGTGAAGGAGACCAATATGAACGCACAAGATTCAATACCTATAGCTGGTTCATCTAAAAAATCTACCGTCTACATTGCTGGTATCGCTCCCGAGGTGAACGAGCAACAACTTTTAGAGGCCTTTGTGACTTTTGGTGAGTTCCTCCCACCCCTCCACTACCTCTTCTCAACTCATCATGCATCATGATTTGTATCAGAAATCATCAAGATGATCCGAGTCAAGATAAAGTGTATAATTATCAGCAAGCTGATTGATAGGTGATATAATCGATATAAAAATCCCTACAGAACCACATGAACGTGAGTTTTTTTTCACTCCCATTTCAACCACATCTTCTCATTAATTCCCTCTCTCATCTTCATCCTACACTCTTCCACCTTCATACTCAGCATATGAAAAATGGTAGAGAGTCATACCATCCACTTAGAGCCATCAACATCTCATTTCATTTTGCCGGATAGAAACCTTTAAAGTGGGTATGGAACAAAGACCGATTTTGTAGCACAAGATGTTTACACTTTTCGTTTTTCTCGTCAGAATACCATTAGGATTAGGATCAGGGCGATTGTAAGAAAAAGAAAAGAAGGAAATGGGATATCAGATAAAAGATAAAAGATGAAAGAAGAAAGAAAGAAAGAAGGTTACAATAAGAAGAAACGAGACTGATCAAATAAAGCAAACAAACATAGAGGTTTCGCTTTCTTAACATTCGCAAACCCTGCCGATGCTCAAGATGCTATAGATAATTACGACTTAAATGAATTACCAGGTTATAAAGGTCGTGGGAAATTTCTGAAATGTAGTATAGCTCAACCGAATAGATATGGTAATGAAGGTGAAGGAGATAAATTTGATAGACCTGGTGAGTTGGTTTTAGAACTTGTCAAACAGTTCTTTTTCCAAATTCTCAAAAAATACGATATTCGATATTGATTCGACCGACGACAATATCTTTGAGAATGTTCTTTCTCTTCAACTTTTTGATACTACTTGAGATATCATTATCATTCGTCATTTACCGATGTTTAATCGCCATGTATCAACACCATGCGTTTTGTTGGTTCATCGGACTATCATTCTTGATCACTTGAGAATATTGAATGTTTGCCGCTAGCGTTTGAGAATACTGTTGGACCCGAGAGAGATGTGATTACTCGTCAACCCGCAGGAAGCTGACAGACAGTATGGGAAAGTGAAGAATGGCTTAAGAAATATGCCAAACCTTTGGATCAAAACGGAGCTATCAACACTCAACCAGAGGGTCAAAGTAACCCCGACGAAGAAGAATCTTCATAGCTCATTCGATAAGTAATTGTATATCAAATGCAGATATCATGCACCATCAGTACAGAAAGAGTGAAAAAGACAAGGCATTCATATTTGACTTCTATTCACATGCTTACTTCTGTTTTCTCACAATTCTCCTAGATATGTACCAAGCAATAAGGCACTTCAACATCTTCATCATTCTCATCATTCACCATGACTTCCACCAACAAGTTTTTGGTCCATGGAGGAATGGGTTTCTTGCTCACGTGTTCGACCAATTCTGACATGCGCATGTTCATACGTTCCGCCGCCTGGCATGTCAGCTCAAGAACTGCCCGAAGTTCAGTGGGGAAGACAGACACCACTTTGTGATCCATGCGCCCAGCTGACACAAGTGACACTTTGCCTGTCCAATGACGTGGTGATCACATATTTGGACGTCTCACAGGTGTGACGAGGGACGAGAAAAGTGTTGAAAAGTATGTGAGGAGTCAAGAGAAAGGACTTACTTTTTTAGGAGGGACGAAAGATGACCACAGCATCGACACTCCTTGCGACACCATCTGTACCTCCAGATGATGATTCTCCTTGAACCAATCGAGGAACTCTTGTAATGTCGGATTACCAGTGATATCAAATCGGTCCCAAAGAGTCCAGTCCGTCTCTCCATACTTCTGCTTGGCAGCTGCTATGGGTTCGGAGAAACCAAAGAAGGGAAGTGCGAGGTTGACAAAGCCGTTTTTGTAGTCTTCAAGCTTATTTTTCTTGTCCAGCAGCTGAAAAGTCAGATCATTCTTGTTCAAACCTTTCGCCCCTTTTACCCCCGTTTCACGGCTCCCCAGTGCGATATTCAGCTCGTATCGGGATGACAATGAGGACCGAACGGAATAAATGACTCGTAGATGCCATGTCTATCCTACATCACGGGTAGCCCCCGAAGAAAGCCACAAAACGCAATCGACTTCCGACGAAACGACTCACCTTGTACAGTTCCAGACATACCAGACCCACCGCCAAACTGGTCGTCGTGGCAATAGCAGGAATAATCTTCCCCGCTATCAACTTGGTCTTGTGTCTGTCTGCAGGAGTGATACCGTAGTTGGTGGCACGAAGATTCGACGCGGCGGTGATGAAATCGATATGGTAGTTTGAGTCGTCGTCTTTCTCAAAGTCTACGGGAGCTAAACGGAAGCCTGCAAGGGAAGATGGAGATGGAAGAGATGCAACGATGGTATCTACGTCTTCGTCTGGTATGTTAGCGAACTGTGCTCGATTCGAGATGACGAGATTTTGTTTAGTGATATTTTTGCAGCTCATTGAGGTATCGACAAGCACAAGGGTTTGGTGAGTGTGACGGCAAGGATACGACTGCTAAGCAGAGGCAGCGAGTATTTAGTCAGATAGGGTTTCATTGCCCACATACAATGAAGGAGATTACGGAAAGAGGAGGAGGCGAGATACTCACCCGCATCGTTGTTGGCCACTGGATCATTCTCGTTGATTTGTATCTTGACCCCACTCTTCGGTACAAATTCTGGAAGTTTCATACTCTCCAATACCTTTCTGAACAAAGCTGGGTCTTTCTCCCCCTTCAGACCATAATTGAATGCATGGAGGTTGGCCGCAGAAACAATGTATCCCATATCCAGGGGCTGACCATCAACAAGTGTAGTCGAACGATCTCGGATAACTCACGCTGTCAATGTTAAACTCGAGAGGATCAGGAGCACGTTTAGGACCGGACCAGAAGGGTAAGCCGTTGGAATTGACCTACAATGTCAGCATTTCCCTCAAGCCATGTGGACGATGTCGTATCCAAGTATGAGAGTTAAAGAGCCACTCTTTGACGTAGCGATTGACACGGTGTGACTCACCTGATCCTTGGGCAGGTTGTAAAGCAACTGCTTGATCTCATTCGCATAATCGGTCTCATACTGCAACCTCGCCCACACGATACATTCCTCAAAGCTTCTCGGTCTTTCCTTCAATAAAAACCGTTCAATCATCTTCAATTGGTCGTAATGCTGACCCGAGCTCTTCAGAGTCGTTTCAACATAATTTGGCTGGCTGAGATAAAGATTGACCGTGGTAGGAGGATTGACAAACAGGGCATCGAAAGCTTCCCGTGCCCACTGAATAGTATGTTCGATGGCGTTCGGGAAGTTTTTGACTGTGCAGGTGGGGATAGACTTTTCGGGAGGATCCTGAGAAGATGAGTAGGACTCAGTGAGGAAGGGAACGACAACTTGGGTGTTTGCTTTCGTTCCTAGGGTGCCGGATTCAAGAAGGGGCTTTTGGTAGAAGACACAGCGTCTGTCCACGTATTGTCGTGCCATGACGTTATCGAGAGCGTTGGTAACACCGTCGATTGAGGCAAAAAAGTCGTCACCATAGACATCTGTACATAAGCGATCAGTCTGGAGGATCAAACTTTCACCGTTCAGTCTGGTTGTTCACCTGAGAGGAGGTACACCAAAGGCGAGGAGACATGCGGCGGTGTGGTAGGACAGAGCAAGAGGGAGAAGGTCCAGAGGGGAAAATCGACTCACTCTCAGTCTCTGGTCCCACACGATCCTGATAACTCTTGATATGTCCATTCAACTCAGGGTTCATAACAACCACCGCAGATGCCGCACTGTCCGCTTTAAACTTGCCCAGATCCTTAGCACGGAATAAAAACTGTCGATTCAAATTGCTCTTCTCAATCGTATCCAGATCAGTGACATGTATCACACCCTTTTCACCAGTCGCCAAACCCATCATGCTCCAGTTCTTGAGCATCTCACAACCGATAGCTCCAGCACCGACTAAAAACTGTCTTTGGTTTGCGATGACATTCTGGAAGGTTTTCCCGAAAACAGCTATTTGACCGTCATATCTCGATCCAAGAGGTTGGCAGTCCGCCTCAGTGGGTTGGGTGGCGGGCATGGATTCGAGTGAGTCAAAGTACATGGTTTGTTGCATAGGATGGAATTTTGCTGAGCAAGCTTTGAGAACTTCTTGAGCCACGAAACCGCCGATAACAGCTACCATGGGAGACAGCTCGCCCGTGGCTTGGAACGAGAGGGCTTCTAAGATTTTTTCGTCGACTTCACCCTCACCGTTGGCAGCGGAATGAATTTCCTTCGCGAGGGACACGATCGTGACTGCTTCACCTGCATTGCGTGGTCTAGGTAGATGGCCGGCTCTTTCATAAAAGACGGAGAGGGCTTGGAAACCGGCATGAAGGGTGGTAGGACGATCCCATTTGGCAAAGTCAGTGATGAAGAGTTCCGGTTTGGCAAGGGATTCTTTGAGTGATTTCTACAGGGTGAGTATCGTCGACTGTACGGCAGATTGACCGAAACGCACGAAATGAAGGATTTTGGGCATCTTGACTTGTGTGAAGATACCACCAGATTTGTACGACCCCGACCCGACGGTATTGCCAATGGTGAAGGTATATGGACCTGGGTTGTCAGTTTGCATCTTATCTTTCACATTGGCCTCGCTCAGACCGACCCTTCACAGTGACTTTCCGTGGTTCACAACCATTGAGAGCCTCCATTCCTTTGACCTCTGAAAAGGTCACAAAGTCTCCATCCTCCAATCCATGTCGGGTTTCTTCCAAACAGGTCACTACCGCTTCTTCACTCTGTCCATCAGTTCAGTCATCCCACAATATATACTATACTGACCTCCTCAATCTCGGCCACCATGCCTGTCTGGGGATTCTCGCCTGTGGGATCTGCACAAGTGAAGTCATTGCCAAAGTCGTTGAATACCGATCTGATCATCAGCTTTGACAGGATAATGCAGCCGCCCACTTACCCGAAGAGACCTCGTACATCAGCAGCGATGAAATATATTCCGTGGCTTCTGCAAAATTCGTCAATCTCAACTTGCTTCGGGATGAGTGTATTTGTCAAGACGACAACCTGATGATCAACACTGTGTCCCTTTCACTGGGCTCGAATTTCGTTTCATGACGGCGGAACCAATGAGACTGACCTGGAAAGGGGCTACCATCTCGGGGTTGATCTCCCCGCTTCCTGGCAGAACCTTGATGGGCACATAGCTGTTCAATTCCGCCAATCTTGGTGCTGTGACTTCCGCTCGGGACTTTCCAACATCTTCTTCTCGGAGAAAAAACTGAGATCAGTATCATGCAAAGGTATAAAGTGGGTTGTCACCTGTGTACCAAGATCGGCGATTTCAACAGGGTTAGGGTCGTATATGGTGACGCTCTTGACTCCAGCTAAAGCAACGTTCTTCGCTTAAATATGTTAGCTGGCCTCTCTTCAGGACATGAAGGGCAAGATCGATCGAGAACAACTCTGGAATGGTAGTAGAGTAGGTGGTGGCGAAGGACTTACCAATTTCCACGCCTAGTCCTTTCATACCTACAATGAGGACGTTGGAATGTGCCATCTTTTGCATGGCTCATCATTAGCTGTTATGAACTACTTTCAGCTGGGAAGTCTTACCTTCATGACCCAAGACATATCTGTTGGATCAGTCAGATGCCTTCCTGAGGGTGGAATGACTTACAGCTGACGAGAGTAAAGACCCTCTTGGTCGAGTCAGCAACCACCATAACATGGAGAACGTTCACCAAAATCAACTTACCGTCAACTATGATATGTCAGCCAGCTCGTCCTCATCGAAGTGGGAAAGGAAGCTCACTGGTGTTACCAGGGACTACCTCGTCCACCTGCATAGGGGCGGCCATATTGGATGTCTTGCCGCCGGGTAGTTTGTGAGATCTCTTCCAAAAAGGGTTTGTCACAGGTAGATGTAAGGGGAAGCAGAAGATACTATGTCTTGCTATGTCTGCTAGTGTGAGGTGAGAGACGAATCAAGTAGAAAAGGGGGGAAGTACAAAGAGAAAGTGAAGGAAGAGTAGTGAGAGAGACTTTAGGTGCGGGCTATGACGATTTCAACGTGGCGGAGGCATTTTCAGTCGGTGCAGATGGCGCTGATTCAGCATTCAAAATGACAACGTATGCATGCATCACGAGTGTCCGGGTCATAAACAATCTATCTCTAATGGGTATGCTACAACGAATGAAATCATGAAGATTTAATGAGATGAATGTGAAATATAGCTTCATAACAGGGCTATCAGTCCAATGAACAGGGGCAAGATGAACCCTATCACGGGTATTCTATAGATGGGGAAAGCCGCACTTCTGAGACATATTAGCTTTCAGCATGAGCAGAGAAGATGAATCACTGACGATGGAGGTTTGGAGATTATTTTGACTGTCAATACTGCGACCAATCCATCTATAGGTGGACGGTCGGAAGATTCCACAGTAAGATAGTGATTGATCATATCTTATCGTCAGCATGTCATGAGAAGTTGTCATCGACCAAGGTTGACTGACCAGCGGCATAAGGTAACAACCCAGAAACATACTTGACATCGGTTTGATAGGTGTAATTGGCGAACGTGGACACGCCAGAGAAAGTGGAAGAATTGGAAACGTTCAAGGTGGGTATTGATTGACCCGTGAGATTACCAGCGAGAAAATCTCGTCCAAGATTGTACCTATATATCAGATCTCAACCCTATGAAGTAGATTCCGTCAGGTTGAAAGACATAACGACGGCTAGGTATTGGAGGATAAGGTGGAGGAAAGGAATACTGACCCATCAAGGATTATATCATGTCCACTCTCCGCATTCATCTCCACGCTTGTCGCAATGAAATACGCCCCAGTCGAATTCTGGATCCAATAACGAGCATGTAAACCTCCTTCAAAACTTTCTCGACAAGTACCAAGATATGGATCGTTGAAGTCCCATCGAAGTTCTTCTACCTGAGTGACGTTCCCTGAAGATTCGCCCAGATTGGCGGCTTGTGTGTCTCCAAGATGTTGTCCTAGACATTCGCTGGCGAGAAATGTGCTTCTGACATTTGTTCAGCTCCTGTCCTCACGCACTCGCTGTCCCTCCCCCTGATCGTTCCCGGCCGTAAATGGAAGGATAGATATTTTGATCGATAGGATCAGAAAGCTTCAAAAAACTCACAACATGAGATTGAGAAACCCTCCATTATCAGCACTATGAACCAGTACTTCGGAGTCAGATTCGGCAGATATGATGATGTTCATTGGTTCTCCCAGACCTTGTGGGAAGGTCCCATTGACGATCTATCACGTCAGTCCAAGTCAGTCGAGTGTAGTAAAATGTCGAGGATGGACACGGGTCAGCTCACCGTGAGCATGGACCCTCCACTGAGAAGAGGATTGTGAAAATCGGTATCCGCTCTCCCTCGCAGGGGTGGCAATCCCACATCTCTCCCGATTTCTCTGACGTCCAACGCCAACAGCGGTGTTGATAAGATGATAAGGGCGGCCAAAAGTACGATCGGTAGTCTAGGTGACATGACTCTGTTGAGGGTTGAGGTTGACGGTGAGGGTGTCAAATGCTGAGCTCGTAAGTGAAATGATTATATACAAAAGACTCGAATAGTGGACGGATGGCTCGTGATCGTCGGGCTCGTGTCGGGGATGTTCAATATGCTTGATTTGACCCAGTTGGTCAGTTGCCAGTTGCCAGTTGATCGAACGACACACGCGCAGACCCAGTCCGGCCTCGGGGACTAAGCGAGGAAACTCCAACCCGTGGATTCTATAAGTCTATTCTTTCCAGCAGTAGTAAGGAGAGGACGTCGATGGCCGTGGCCCGGTCGGGGTGAGGGTCGACAAAGGTACAGATGATAAGAGGCAGATTACGGGGAAGGATGAAGAAGAAGAGAGTGAGAAGTGAAAGTTGGTTCAAGCTGCAATCGGCAATTACTTAGCACTAAGTACGGCGTCGATTTAGTCTCATCGCAACTTCGCATTCTTCATCTTCATTTCTCAAATTTCACTTGTTCCCACCACTACCATATCTTCACCAAAACACCTGACATATGCATAAAAGTACCATCGTCAGAATCAGTAAATTGGTGGCTAACTCCTTGTACTTGCAGATGCATACAAAAGCTCATGTGGGAGATGTTCTCTTGTCTAATAAACTGGTCAGTGAACTTGACATTTGGTCGCAAAAAGTGCCACATTCATCTTCCCCAACTGTGAGACAAGTCAATTGGGAAATACAATATAGGTAGATGATGCATAACACTATCTACTGAGCCTTATATCAACAGATAAGTATGGAACTTCATAGAAAGAGAGAGAGAAGAGACATATAGTGGAATGTGGTAGAAGGGAAGAGAAGGCTTCAACTTACTTTTCCACTGAGTACACCAACCCTTCAAGTAGTTAATTTCGTCTCTTTTCCGCCAATACCCCTCTCAATACTTCATTGGCCAGTCTCCAGAATGCTCAGATTGGATTGTAGCACCGGATTCACCTCTACAAGCTCCTTGATTGCATTTTTTCAGATCAGAAGCAAGATGGAATCCAGTATAACTAAGATGTCAGCAGTAGCCAGTCACAAATTGAGGTAGGATGACATATAACACATTTCACACGGAGAAGTGATAAGTAGAGTTGATGGAATTGTATGGAGAGGCATGTGGATATTGAGGAGGGATGCACACATAGTGACAGATGGCTGCATGGTCCAAGAAAGATGATAGAGATGTAGAATGTCAAATGAGAAACGAAGATGAAGAATGTAAAGTTGCGATGAGACTAAATCGACGCCGTACTAAGTGGGAAAAGTCGTCGGATCCAATTTGACTTCTGACATCTTCCTTCTCTTTTCGTGCTCACCATCGGATCACTGATCTTTACTGGGCGAACAGTGATCTCCATATCTTAGTCTGCGAGCAGTCATTCAGGGTAGGCTATCGCGGGATCAAGAGTCGACAGCATGTCGGTCCGTCCTCTCTTCCAGAAGTATGTGATGAATGGACGATTTCAACCATCTCTCCGATCTTCCTTCCTCTCCCGTCAAGCATCGACAGCGTCGACAACTGCCGGGTCTACACCCAATTCCCCTTCGGTATATTCGGGAGACGTAGCTACAGGACATGAAGGATCGAGTGGTCGTACAACCCATTTTGGGTTTCGTCAAGTTCCAGAGGAGCAGAAAGAGGCTCTAGGTGGGTATTCGTTTCAGCGCCCAATCACCTTCATACATAAACATACAAACTCAACTCTGAAAGTCACATGAGTTAGTATGAAGAGGTTGACTTGGTAAGAAGAGGGATCTGCTGAAATTGTCGGGGAGACCAAAGAAGCTCTGGAATGAACGTCACTCATACAACAGTTGGCGACGTATTCAGTTCCGTCGCTTCTAGTTATGATCGAATGAACGATGCCATGTCTCTCGGTATACATCGACTATGGAAAGATTCATTCGTCTCTTCTCTCTTACCTCGACTCCCTCCTTCTTTCCATGATCCTGACAATTCAGCATCGGGCCCGCAAAAGATCTTCAAATGCCTTGATGTGGCAGGTGGGACGGGCGATATAGCATTGAGAATATTGGATCGAGCGAGAGACAAGTTCGCTTGTAGGGATGTAGAGGTGGAAGTGGTAGATCTGAACGAGGGCATGTTGAATGAAGGGAGGAAAAGGGTAGCAAAGACCATGTATTATAACAGTGAGTTTATGCTTCTTTTTACCTGCATACGCCCTTGACATCTCTTTCAACGTGTAATGTCTCACATGAGATGAAAAGATAAGTCTTAATATTCAGCTCCTCAAATTCGTTTCACTCATGGAAACGCTCAATCTCTACCTTCTCACATAGCCAACAACTCCATCGATCTCTACACCATCGCGTTTGGGATACGGAATTGTACTTCCTTACCCGCTGTTCTCAGTGAGGCTCATAGGGTGTTGAAGCCTGGAGGTAAGATCGGTGTGCTAGAATTTGGAAAAGTCACCAATCCTCTATTCAAAGAGTGAGTCTAGTCCTTCCTACCGAATCTTGTTGTCCTCCTCTAGGATATTCTCCAGGATCAGCTGAGATATAGGGTTTATCGACAATACTCATTTTCCTTCATCCCCATACTGGGTAAGATTATCGCTGGCGATGCGGATTCTTACCAATATCTAATTGAGTCCATTGAGCGCTTTCCTTCTCAACCTGAATTTGCAAAACTGTACGTCCTTGATTCTTCGGCGGCCGAATGGTCCACGTTTGTTAAAGCTGATAGAGCAGCATGCAAGAAGCAGGCTTCAAGACTGGGCAATTGAGGGAAGGTAAGGGAGGTGCATGGACGGATCATACTGGCGGCATAGCTACCGTTTGGACCGGCGTCAAGGCCTGAACATCATTCCCGTTCACCCCACTCGGTCAACTCATCGACTTGCTTCCTCCCTACCTTCCAAGTAACACGATATCTCGTCCGTATATCATCACCGAATCATCAGAACATCTCAAAGTCTCTCACGTCATATACGAATACACATGCATCTTCGACATCTTTCATCTCCTTTCCACGTCATTTGCCTTACCCACAAGGTTCTCCGTTTTGGTATCCATTTTTTCCATCCTTTCATATCTCGTCATTTATCCACTGACGTAATTGACAACCTTCGTCTGACCACTGGTCTACTCCGACTCTTGATGTCAAAAAGACAGTCTTCTCGAAGCCGACTCCATAACGATGACGGTGTTCAGCAAGAAAGTCGAGATCCGACTCGTAGATGATGGAGAATTGACTTGACCTGGAGTATGCTCCACGCTGAGAAGATGACGAGTGAGTAGTGACGTATTTCCTTTCTTTTTCCTTGATTGAGTGTGGGAGCCCACGTCATGACATTCATTTAAAAACACGCGGAGGGGAGACTCACCTTAAATTCTCTCATCAATCACTTCTCACCTCGTGAAACATATTGGACCGATCAAAGTTTGATAGACACCATCCATGTCGGAAACAGCTACAAACGTCAACCAAAAATCACTAGGCGGAATCCGAACGAGGCTATCCCAAATTGTCAGAGGGCTTATCGATCGAGTGAGAAGGTCTCGCAGGACGCAGACCTCAATAAGCGACAGCAGATACTCCTCATCCTTGATCGCCGAAAGTTCTAGCAGCCAGCCACACTCATGGGATACACAATCACGTATCGATGATCCTCAAACTGTTTTTGACACTCACGGGTTCGCAGCGTTGATCCGAGTGGACGAGACTTCCGATGGAATTTTTCAACCCACAATAACGTATAGTCTTTGTGTATCTTACTCACAAGCCCTGGTGTCCAGGCCTGATGGTCGTAGAACTTCAGCAGGAGATGATACACTTGACATATTCGACAGACTTCAACAGCCAAATTTTGCCGACGAAGAGACGCAGCATGAGTGGGTTCGGACGGTTTTGGAGTGTCATCGAAACCTTCATGATGATCTAAGTGACAAACTCAAATCACTTTCTCGCCTAGGATCGACAGATAAATTGATACAGATCAATAAGATCTGTGGCTCATTGGGAGATACGTTGTCGGCTGTGAAAGAATACCCAAGCTTAGGTATGGTGGTTTGGTGTGACAACAGAGAGATTTATGAATTTTTGGTCAAGACCAGTAGTTTCAACTTCGATCCGAAGGAGTACGAGTGCCGACGTGTCGATGAAGGCACACGGTTTGAAGATAGACTTGATGGAACTGTTTATGAAGACCCGCCGAGGGGACGGACACTGTTAAGGAGCAAGTAATCATCCAGGGGTTTAGCCTTCTCGGACAAGTCTTTGTGAATATGACATGGTAATTGCTCAAACGGTTTCTAACGCTTCTGATGTTGAGCAAGAAGAGGCATCAATCCGAAAGAGGTTAGGCCGAGAATTGTCGGCTAAACAACCCGATGGATAAGGTCCGTGTACTGTAGTGTATCTGATGGAGTGAGATCAAGCTCAAGATCCGGCCGTTGATGTGACCTCCTCATTCCACCGCCTCACCGATGGAAGGTTTCACATCTCGCTTGTATAGACGGAGCATAGGGTGAATGATAGTGAGAATTTCAATCTTTCCCTTTCATCAAAGTAGATATTCGTCATTTAGCTAGGATGCATGTGGAAAGAGTTCATCGGTCTTCCTTTTTGATATACGATGGATGATCCGTTCATCGGGACGTAAAGCTTAACGACCGCTTAGCGCTCTAGCCATCTTGGTCGGCGGGGGAGGACAGGTTTGATGGTCATAAAAATGAGAACCGAATTTCCATCAAGATAAGTTTCATACCTACACCCGCCATACTTCCGATTTGAGAAACATTCATACCAATCAGAATGTCATCACCCCTCAAAGAGAATCAACACTCGGTAAGCTCTGATAAAGACCAGAAGGGGGAAGAATTGAACAAAGAGACAGGCTTCGCAACCATTATCTTGGCGAGCTCGACCGGGATCTCTATGTGCGGTATCCCCTGTTGGTCTCATCGTGGAACCCATACAGGGATTTATGTACAGAGGAGGACGGATCACGTCAGTGATCTTCCAAATCATCTCCCTTTGCTACGGAATCACAACAGGGATCATGGATCTGACGAGTTGTGGAGGGAAAATTTCCGTGCCTTTAATAATTCTTTCTCAAAAAAGTTTTCCCCAAACCCGGAGATCGTTGAAGCAGGTGGAAAAGACATGCCTGACAAATTATTTACAGAGCTGGAAGCGAGGAGTCTTTCGAGTTGTGGAAATGTGACCACTCGGCGTCCTACTTCAATCTGTGTGTTCACCGATGAGGAATATCACGGTGAATTTGTTCTGAACCTGACAACTGTATGCCGACCAGGGGCCAAGCCACAAGGCACAACATTATTAACAGGTAGGACAATCGGAGCAACCACAAGCGACGCTCTCGAAGACGAAGCGTCTACGATCCAGGAGCTATAGGCCTGCCCCCGGGCTATTACGTTCACTAAGTGACATGATGATGATCTTGTCAAGGGAATCATGGTCGGACGGATAGAAGAAGATGCATGTTGACTTGCACGTGAGTTGGGTAGTTGACTAAGATTTTCCAACGACCATCTGGAAGATGATTGATTCATATTCAGTAAATAAAATAACTTGAGGAATACTATTTTTGTTATCATGACTTGGATAGCATAGTTCCCTGAAAGTCTGACCCCCATGGTAACTAGGCAACCGAGCGAGATAAACTAAGATGAGATCAAAGTTGATACGTTCGGTACCGGCCTTACAAACTAGATGCCACCTAAGGATTTGTGAGATGATCAGAATCAATCTTCTTAAGGCATCCAAAGTCTCCCTGATTGTTTTCGTAACATGATTGAGACCTTCTAGCATGGACGAGGGAGGGAAAGTGCCACATCATCATTTCCGCCACATCCTCCTCCACCCTCGTATGACGCTTTCGCGGCCCTCTCTATGTACCATCGAACAATTATTCTAAACCCCGCTTCTCTCTTCTTTCTCTATATAACATACATACGACATTGACAATGTCAGATCCTCTAGATGTCAATATCATCCTCACTCTCCTTCAAACCCTACTCCCTCGATCAACTTCTTCTCCCTTTCCCAAACCCACCGACGCTATCGCCGCTTTAGTCCATACCATCCATATCGCCCTTGACTTTCGTCTTATCCCTAATCCCAACGCAGGTCATCCCCTCACATCAGATGCGATAGCTGCTCAAAATGCACAGCCTGGAACCGAAATAGCCGATGGAGCTTCCGAGATCACCGCGGTCGAATCTGAATCTGAACCTGCTCCTGTGGAGGGACAATTACACCCTGGGTGGAATGCACGTGGAGAAGATGCGTATACTTTCGAATATAGACATGCTCAAAGTGCCATGACTTTCCGTGTAAGAGTGGGCAGGATGGGAGCCAGGGTACAAATTGATGCTACTGCAGAGGTGAGTAAAGAGCCGAAAGAGCTATAGATGTTGAGCTGATATGATCAGGATGGAGCTCCGTACAGCTTATCATTTGTCCTTGGGAGTATCGTGACGCCACCGGCTTTTCCTATTCCAAGTACTGCTACTTCGTCAGGCTCGAGTTCCAGCTCAAGCTCTCCTGAAGCTCCCGCGAAAAGTCTTGGCTTTGCGTCCATTGCAAGGTAAGTCAATGTCATCAATTTTCTTTGTGATAAGTGTGGCTAATGATGCAGCGTCAAAGATTTCATCGACAAGTATAAAAAAGATGTCATTGCTAGAATCCTCCCAGGTCTTCAGAAAGATGGTTATTCCGATACGTAAGTCACATTTTGTCAATGTGACTTCTGGCTGACGTGGGAAGAACGACATCTGGTTCTAATCCTCGTAATCCTCCTGCTCAAACACAACCAAGTCGTGATCCCCTTCCTGCTAATCCTTCGCCACTCTTAGACCCTTTGTATCCCAATCGAATACCCTATCAACCCAATAACCCCGCTTCAGTAGGACGGAGAGATCTTGACCCTTTATCATCTATGCAACCACCGGGAATGTTCAACCCGTCTGGCGATGGAGGAGGGATGTACGTAGACTTCAACCATCCACTGTTCGACGGTCGTCGTCGAGGTTTAGATCCTGATCTCGGCGGACCAGGAGGATCGATGCAGCCTCCAGGGGCGAGATGGGATCCTGTAGGACCAGGTATGGGACCCCAGGGTGGATTTCCCGGACCAGGAGGTAATCCACTGGGGGGCGTTGGAGTAGGTGATCCGGATTGGGGAGATGAGATGCCACCTCCTGGACAGTTTGGACCTGATTTAGGACGTATGGGTGGTCTGGGTGGACCGGGAATGGGACCGGGTAGAGGACGTGGTGGTGGAGGAATAGGTGGATTTGGAGGATTGGGAGGTGGTAGAGGGAGAGGCGGTTTCGGTGGAGGATTTGGTGGTGGTGGTGGTATGTTCATGTGAGATGATCAATTTGTTAAAGCATCTATCATGTTTGTATCTGTCCAAGAAACTCTTCATGTGGGTATTGCATGCACATTGTCTATAATCACAAACATCGGTCAAAGCTACAACACCGGTCATTAAGATGATAAGAACTGAAAACACAGACTTGAGATATGTACCCATTTGAAATTTACAACTGAAATGTAAGATGACGATGATTCGTCATTCTTTTCGTCTTCCCCTGTTCCAATCCCCCGTTTGACCATGGCCAAATAAAAGATGTGCTTGTCCCTTTTGTAGACTTTGGCCCACATACCGTCCTCCATTTATCTGAGGTTCCTCGTCGTCTTCGTCTACTTCCTCTCCTTCGGCATCCATATCCAAATCCAAATCCATGTCCACGTCCATATCAGCCAGCTCCCTTTCATCCCTCTCTTTCCCTTTCCCCAAACTTGTCCGATCCATTTGAGCTCCATCATCCGGTTCCAAAGCTCTCGTGGGAGGATTGATAGGTGTGAAACCTTTCCATTTCCAACCCTCATGAGCTCCTTCCGAAGCTGGTTTCGCTTCATCTTTCCTTTCCATCTGGGAGAAACCAAAACCACCTCGATTACCGAACCCTGATGCCGATGCAGAGGCCAGGACAGGAGGTTCTGAAGCACTACGTAATATGCCAGAATGATCTACATCATCTATTCCTTGCGCCCATAATGGAGCGAAGGCATCACTCGTGAATGCTCCGTATCCTGGAGATGAAGGAGGTTGAAGAGCCACATGTGGTGCAGGTACTGGTAAAGGCAAAGAATGTGAGGTTGATGTGGAAGGGTTTGAATTCCAGGTAGTCGTGGAAGGATGGGAGGTAACTTGTGAAAAAGAAGTCGATGTTGATGATGACCAATCGAAAGAGATATCGTCATATAATGTGGAAGGAGGATAAGAGGCGCGTTTTCTTGTAGAGGATGATGAACGAGATGGAAGAGGATGATATTTGTCAGAAGGGGATAAAGGGACGTTTTCATTGAGAGGTAAATGTTGAGAGAGATATTCCTTTTCATCAGCATCATATAGAAGGGGAAGATACATCCATCCACTATTTTTGGTTTATGAACTTTCCTCAATTGGGTGAAGGTCGATATTTCATGGTATGACATAAGAGGAAATAGTATTCTTGGAAGAACATATGATATTCTTTGAGAAGAAGAACGTTGAGATGTAGGTTTAAATGTGAATTGGAAGTGAGATACTCACTTGAAGTTGTCGAAGGTCATATCCTTCTTGACCAACATGCATCCCTCCTGCGAACGTTGCTAGTAATTCTTCCATCTCATCCACCACTAATCCTCGTTCACGTCAAAGTCGATTGAGTCAAGTAATGTCTTTCTTTTCGCTTGACGTGGCGGATGTGATACTTTCAAACGCGACTACCTTGACGATATTTCCAGTTCCACCTTGTTTTTCTCGTTGGTAATACAGGAAACAGAGGTGAAGATGAGAGTGATATGAATGAAAAAAAGATGAAAGAAGACCAAAGGTGTTGTTGGTATGACAGGCGTGAAGGGCGAAAGTGCCGGTAACCGGTTCTAAAGGTACTTCTTTTTACGTTGACGACCGGGTTTATTCGTATTTCGTACAAACACTCAAAAAATATCTTCTAGACCATACATGGGAATCAGAGCAGAGGGAGAAATCCTTTAGCCGGTCCACGCGGAGGTAAGGAGGTCTTACCAGTAGAAGACGTGTCAAGAGTTGGGGCGTGATGGGACCGGTGGTAAAAGTACGAGTATGCGGTACGAGTGTTTTAAAGGTGGCCAAAAGTGGACATGGGCGGGTTCGATTTAGCCGAGGGACGATCAGAGATCTGCGACAATCACCCATCACCATCACCGGTCATCGGCCCGGTCCGTCAGAGGGCGCATAAGAACCGGAGGAATCCCGGGGCGTCGGTCATGATCGTCGTTTGGCAACTTTGGAACACTACTACTCTGTTGGATGACGACAGTTGTCATGAGAAGCATCTTACAACGCAGGTCACTTCATGTACGATACGATACGAGTACTCGTGATCTACTGCTTGGAGAATGAACTCGATCGCATTTGACAAATTGAAAAACTATGAAGACGAAGATGATTACCCTTATGGGTCTACAGACAAAATTCAACTAAACTACGACTGATCAACAACTCAGATCACCTCCGCTCCATCCATAGTCTTGCCGTCCTGAGTCACATCATCAATCATCTCTACATTAATCGTCTCTTCATCATCCTGGGGCTTTGCAGTAACTCTCTCATATCTCTCCCAAAGCTTGTAAGACGACGGATCCTCCAAATACGCCGTTGTTCCATTCCCAATAGCTTTTCCTTTCAATAATCGTCCCGCACAGAACGTAGCAACCTGAACCGAACTTTTTTGATACGACTTGATTGCCTTTGTATCCGAAAGATAGTCGAACCATCTGGACGCTTCAGTGAATCTTTCCGAATCCACCAATGCTTTCACGTTATCGGTCAAAACCAACAAATCATGTGGTACGAATGAATCTTTCGACATGGGATTCGTGGTCGGGAAAGTTGAATGATAAGTACGATTGATCTGATGAAGTAAAAAGGCTTCTTCGCCAGGATCAAAATTACGGTATTCTACGTATTGAGGAGCTTTGTTCGCTCTCACAGTGTGGATATCTTTTAGTTTGGTTTTATCCTCTTCATCAAGATCGAGATCGTCCAATTGGGCGGCGAAGATTTGTCCCTCTCGGACAGTTTGTTCGAGGAGATGATCAAATGCGTCGAAAACTCGAGAACGAAGTCCAACATCTTCCAATTCGATGATCCAATGTGGGACTACGGTGAAACGATTCTCATCTCTGGCACTTGTGTTTGAGGCAAAAGTAGTTGGAGACGTCTGAGCGCCGCTTGATTCTCCCGCAGTGGAATTGATTGGCCCTACACTTCTCCCGGTATTTTCACCAGTTTTGTTGACCGACGATGTAGAGGTCGCACCAGTCAGGAGTCCCGAAGTTGATTTAGCCGTCAGGTTGGTGGATCGGACAGGACGATAAGGCTTGTGAAAAGTTAGAGAATGAATCATACCGCTGAAGTCAACTTTCGGATCAGCAGTAATGGATGCGGACGGTGCGCTAGTAGATGGGAATGAGTAAATAATGGACGAGAGATCCATAGGGATTGTTTCAGGTCGTGACTTTGTCTGGGCATCTTTAGTCGACATGTTGTTTGGACTTCGTTCGTATGGATGGAGTGAGTTCAAAGTGAATTGGTATTAGCTCAATGTGGATAGGTGGTATTGGGCGAAAAGTGAAATGGAGAAGAAAGAGTCGGGAACAAGTCAAGGCCACGGGGTTTAAATGAGTCAGTGGAAGTATCATGAGCAGTCTGTCGGTCTGGTCAAGCAAGGATCGACACTCGGTTGATCAAAGGAAAACCCATATGACACATGTGATGGGTTGTGTCAGATGCGACGTGTGGGAGATGGACAAAGGAGTGAGTTATTTTCTCTCCTCCTATCTGCTTTACGTGTCTAGGTCATGACTTGGTGGAGAAGATGAGGTTTTCTGGCCGAGGAGAACCTACCGGACGACTCTGTCTATATTATTCTTAAGCAGGCTTTGTGAGCGACCTGAAATGCAATCCTTTTCCCTTATCTATTTGCCTTCTACTTCCTGCTTCTCCGTTTTTCCGACGTTCGCGGATGATAGCTAACCTCAGCTACCGACTCCGCTGGTATATCGCACATATCGCATATCCCATCAACCTTTCCACCATGTTCCATTCGACATTTACGATTCACATCCCTGCACCTTCACCTCCACCTAACCATTCAAGCATTCAACAACCGACTCACCGAACCCGCACCGCATATCGCCCTATGAACTTCCTTTATCAGTAGGAAACGATTCAACATCCTAAAGACGACTTGAAGAATCGTTCCCACCCTGTTCAAAGATGCTTCCTCTGCTGGCTAGCCAAGCTCTTCGCGTCCCCGAGATCCGCCATCGGAGTACGACGAGAACCACCCTCCCCGAGTCCCACCAATCATCTCCTTTCAAAATCCGCGGGGTTCACCGTTAGAGATGTATGGGAGAATCTCCCACGATCGATCGGTCTCTCGTACACCGAGCCTCCCCCCTCAACTATAAGACACAAGTGGCGAGATGATTATCAACCCAAAGCTGTTTGTGTCCATCTCAATCATCAATTATCAATCATCAATCATCAATCAGCAATCAGCAATCAGCAATCAGCAATCATCAGTCATGTCTCTAGAACCTACTCAAGCGACTGCTCAAGGCTCAAAATCAGGGCAGAGCGACGGTCATGACCTTAGCCTGGTTCCATGCAACAGTGAACTCCAGAAAGACATTTACCTTCCCGAAACAAGGGTCCTTCGACAATCCAGTCCCTTGTGCCCTGAAAAATCAACCAGATGGGTTCGCAACTTCGGTTATATTCGACCAGAAGATAAAATTGTACGACCCCTTCTCATCAATGCAAGAATTCGCCTCACTCAGCTCGAGCTGGAGGTGTTCAGCCTCCTTCCAAGCACGGAACCTAATTTAGAGACCTTCGAACTCGTGCACGAATGCGTGCCGAAAGACGATATGTCAGAACTCAGCACTCATGTACTCAAACTCCATCGCGTATTGAATAGAAGCTGTCTAAGACTCTGGGATGAAAGCTGGCAGTCTGTAACTCAATCGCTAGACGAGAACGACAACATGAATTTTCCTGCACCTGGAAATGCTTTATCGAATCTAAAGCAAGCCATGATTGCCAGTGACAGTTTACGCCTACTTCTATCGCAAGGCATCAACATTGGGGTCGATGCTCTCCCTTGGACGGCAGAGATGTGTGGGGCCCGGGGGTGGGCCATATGGGTGGGAAAATGTACCGAGCTCAACATGATCGAGACTATTCTTAGCGAGCGAGCGCAATCCGGGGAGGGGAATGAGGAGGTGTGTTGGGACTTCATGACAGATACTGGAGCAACAGAGGGGATGGAAGGTAAAGGGCTCTGGCTCAGCAACCCATCGAGTCTTTCACCAGACAATGGCGATCCAACAACGCATATTCCATTGGCAAGAGACGATTGGGTGGAGGAGGAGGAGGAGGAGGAGGAGGAGGAGGGCGCATTGCAGACGTCCCCAGGGAGTGTTCAGTCTGACCTTTCCAACTCGGATTTGAATACCTTGGTCGGTGATGGTTACAGATCTGAAAGCCCTTCAAAAGATGGCGGAGAAGGAGATATCTTGGACGACGATTGGAACAAGGTAGGAGACGAGTGAACGAGTGTATGTTTCATATCAGGCAGAGTATCTATCTCATGCAGCCTGTCTAATCTGCCGATGGGACCCTGACAAAGTAGAATCCTCCCCAAGCTTCTCGTATAGGACTCGGGCAGCTTTCTCGTAGGACGTGGGAAAGGAAACCCTTGTCCAATATTTCATTCTCACGCGGTTTCGGGCTTCCGACTCCGACATCTTTTGACAAAGATTCATATGCGGATAGCCTCAGGAAGAATATTCACGCCACCCTCATCTCTTTCTCAACTTGTCATTCGTCCTCTGATACTCTGGCCGCCATGTCGGATGAACGATTCAACATGGATTGCCGTCAGTATCCACCGATTGAAGATCTCCACGATTCATACCTCTCTGATTCTCCCGTATCCAAAGCCCCTTCCCTCCCTCCCCTTTCCGATGATAATGGTGATGACAGCTCCGAACCATACGATATACCAGCTAGTCCCAATTCCCCCAATTTGACCGTACTACCCATAACCATCCACGACGAAGACGGATTTTCCTCGAACGAATTTGGAAACCTCCAACCTTGTGGAGTGGAGTCTTTTCTGCAGTTTCCATCCTTCTCTCCCACCCCTCCACCCCTTTCCCCAACATCATCCATAGACAGTGTCCACGCCACCACCACCACCGGAGGATAACTTTCCCCACCCCTGTCAATCCCTGAGGGTCATACGTCACCTGTCTCAGACGGAACTAAGTTCCTATCTCGACCTGCTTCTCTCCGCCAAGAATTTGTGGAGTATACACTTGGACAGTGAGCAAAATCAACGAATGATGCACAACCCAACATATGTGCAGCCTTCGAAATTGTATGACCCTATGTTGCCAATTTACAAACAAGTCCTACAGAGAAACGCCTCAAGACAAAGATCCAATCAGACGACAGATGTCACGATCAAGAGGATGGATAATGAGTTTCACAACTTGTGGATGAAAGTTGAGGTAATGTTGTCGTCAGGCAAGGGTTTGGGACTCCCTGTATGGAGTATGGAAGATCTCATGTCCCCACTGAGCCAGACAAGTTTGCTCAATTTTGGTCGACATATTTTCACTGGTGAATGTCCCGCCCTCAGCGAAGTAGAAAGATTATTGTGGCAAGCATCATCCTCTATCGGTCCTACTCGACTACAAGAGTTTGTACCGACGCAGGGGTGGACCTACGACTTCCGCGGACCTCCAAAAACAGGATGGGGTAAGCCCCCACGTAAGTTGATTCTCACACCATTCGATCCGACCGGGAGTGGAGAATCTTTATCACATAATGAATCTCCGAGCGGATAATCGCTAAAGGTGTGTAGTCTGTATCGGAGAGAGATCCACCTTTGTTTTATCAAACATGTGGGCAAGTGTTCTAAATGGTGATTTCCTTTGTCTCTCAGCCCCATCCTATGACACATAGACAGAGAGAATCGCCGCAGTTTACAAGTCTCTAACAAGACATCTTCTCATTTTCTTCTTGACCCATCCATAGTCTGATCGACAAACATGAACGGCCGACAAGGATGGAATAGTATTCTCGGTCCTTCGGGAATGGTACGTTGCTCTTCAGAGGGTGACACGGACCGTTGGCGAGTACTGAGAGACCCAATGTCATTGACAACAAATGGAAGGTCCAGTCTTCCACCTGACGGGCATTATGAAGCTGGATGTCAGGAGATAGGAACAGGTGTGGAGGTAGAAGTTGAGGAAGTAGACGAAGGATACAGTGATGAGGATGTGGACAAAGATATGGGAGGGCTCCAATTGAGCCAATATTCAAGCCCTCCACTCGAATTTTTCACGGGTGAACATTTGTCTTGGGCTGACGAAGTAACCGAAGCGGAAGAAGAGCGACAAGCGCAGATGCAAGGTGGATATGAGGAGGATGAGGGACAAGGTCTTGATATTGAGGAGGATGACAATGGTGATCCTATTGAGGCGATCAATGGCTCACCTTATCTTCTCTCCGTCAATCCAACACATGTATCGTATCAGTCACCACAAGATTATGAGGACGAAGAATCAGACAACGAGTCAACTTCAAGCAGTGAATCCGAGTCCGAGATGGTGACGGTCAATGTTGATGATTACCATCCTTCTTTCTTTCAAATGGACCCCCGAGGGAGTAGATATCACCAGCGAAAGTTTCTTTCAGAACTTCAAACTTACCCCCTAGAAGTCCGCACAAACTATGCCACCCTTATTCGTGCGGCTCTGCAATTTAAGTCAGAAATTGAAGCAGTAACAACTCAACGCTGTTTGGAGCGGTCTTTTGAACTTCAATTGAAGAGCTTGGTAGCTACCACCGAACCAGAGGATCTATTACTACGAAAAGTACTCTTGGCAAATGCTTATGAACACGTGATGAGCACAAGGGTCAAGCACAAGGCGATTGAGTCTGGTAAACCCGCCAATGACTATCTCCTCGAACACGCCCCAAATTTGGCATTACGAAATGCTGATGATATCGGATGGTTAGCGGAAGCCGACAAGTCGGATTTGGAAGGAGAGCTGTATGATCTGCAAATGTTGGAAGGGGAAGTGAATATGGAAATCCAAAGTTCGGAATCTTCGGAGGACACATCACCTTCGTTCGTAGAGGCGAATCCGAAAGAGTGGGAAGGGTCAGATGAATCGCCGGAAGAAACGAGTTGGGCCTGCACTGGTCTTGGCATCACTTTTTAGAAATTTGGTAATTAATATGAAAAGATTGGCATGATCAGAACTTGTTCCCGAACTGATGTCATAACTGATCAGGATAATCTAACACACGAGTGGGTTTTTCTGTTGCGGAACCAACTACATACTAGGGATTAGTCGTAGGGGAAATGCCACAAAAGATGATTCTGCCACAGATCGGCCCGAGTGATCAGGCACGTCGGGTCCGAGTTGGTTTCGCCGGCGTTCTAGGCGAACCGGGTTGATCAGTTTCAGTACCTTGCAGATCAAAACGGTAACTAAGATCGTCATGATTCAACCCTTTAACCCTTCCGGTATCATGGAGATCGTTTCCACCTCAACATCTGTTTTCGAATGACTCTCTTACCATTTGCACAGCGTTTGTCTCGAATCGAAAAACTCTGTTTGGAAGGTACCGCCGGCATTCGATGTCCACCCAGGAACGCATAAACGCACTTGAAATCCCGTGACTTTGTGGCTGTACAAACCAAGTTACCAAGACGTTTGGCAGTGATGGCGTGATTTGACGTGTGACAGTCGCCATTGACATTGCACCATTTTACCATGCGCCCGTGATCGTCTTTGGACCGTTAGTCAGTCGCTCTACCGGGCGGGGATTGCCCAAGGGGATGTACGCACAATCTACCTTACGTTTTCTTAGACCCTATCGACACAGGGAGGGAAGGAGGGGGGAGGGGGGGGAAATACGAAGGGCAACATCAGAGTAATTCAAAATTTCAAAGAGGACTTTGGAGAGTCTGTCTCTCCTGAAATGGTAATGACCAGGTCCAAATTCGATACGTACTCCGTCAAACCCGGTGAACCCAAAAAAGAACAAAAAAAAAGAAAAGACGTCACTCGCCTCCACATTTACACTCCAAAAATCTGGAATAAACCTTTGAATCTCTTAAAAGTCGTCATTCAACAATGATGAGTCGCAAGCGTTCGTCTCTTGTTCATCATATTGATTCACCCTTACTCCCCCGAAGATCACGAATACGACAAACTTGAGCGAGACTCAAAAAGGGATCATAGAGTCTCGTGCTTTTCTCATCTTTTTCCCCGCCCTCTTTCTCTGATATATTACCATCCTTGCCGCCGCAGTCGTGATTGACGAGTAAACGAACCCTCACGAGATCACGAGCCCTCTCATCGATATGAGTTCGAAACAAAGCAAATTTAGTGAACTGCGCAGACATGCCGAGCGCGTGTTAGGTATACCAGAATCGGCTCCAGAGTCCGTATCAGCCAAGACATGGGTGGAACATAACTTGGTCGCCTCGTGGCCTTCTGTGAGTCGTTTGTTTGTACTCATCTGCTCCAAACTGTAAAGGTGTGAACGTTGGCTCACCAAGCAGGTGAAAAACTATGTGATTGGTCTTTTCCCTTTCCTTCAATGGGCACCACGGTATAATCTCACTTGGTTGATAGGCGATCTCATCGCGTAAGTCCCTTTCATCAGAAGCTTCAAGATGATACATCCACCTTTAGCTCCTTTTCAGAACTGCTTGGCAAGATTGAGATGCTGATCGTCAGTGGTATAACAGTCGGTATGGTTCTCGTCCCTCAATCTTTGTCATATGCCAAACTTGCCAATTTACCCTCGGAATATGGTCTTTATTCATCTTTCATCGGTGTTCTCTGTTATGCCTTCTTCGCTACCTCGAAAGATGTCTCTATCGGACCAGTCGCCGTCATGTCGCTCGAAACCGGAAATATCGTGACGGATGTATTGAAGAAACATGGTGACAAATATACCGCGCCGGAAATCGCCACCTGTCTAGCTTTCATTTGTGGTTGCGTGGTTCTCGCCATTGGTCTTTTCCGTGTTGGTTGGATAATCGAGTTCAGTGAGTGTATTTCTTTCTCAATTCTTGTCGATGTTGACATGGTAGTCCCTCAACCTGCCGTATCTGGATTTATGACCGGTTCAGCTCTCAATATCGCCGCTGGTCAAGTTCCTGCACTATTAGGATTGGCCAAACGTCTCGATACTAGAGCAGCCACTTATAAAGTCATCATAAATACTTTGAAGAATCTTCCTCATTGTTCCCTCGATGCCGCTTTTGGTATTCCAGCCTTGTTTCTTCTCTACGCGCTCAAGTATACGTTCACATACTTGCCAAAACGGTATCCCAAATTCGCTAGACCAGCTTTCTTCCTCATGGCCCTCCGACATGCGTTCACAATCATCCTCTTCACCATCATTTCATGGCGTATGAATATCCATCATAAAACACCTCGTATCGCTCTTGTCGGTACCGTACCATCTGGTCTCAAACATGTTGGACAACCAATGATCACCGGTGAATTATTAGGTGCTATTGGTGCACATATCCCCGTTGCGACTATCATTTTGTTACTGGAACATATCTCCATCGCCAAGTCTTTCGGTCGATTAAATGGTTACAAGATCAACCCAAACCAAGAGCTCATCGCCATTGGAGTCAACAACACTCTCGGAAGTGTTTTCTCTGCTTATCCTTCCACTGGTTCTTTCTCTCGTTCTGCTCTCAAATCCAAATCAGGTGTTAGAACTCCGGCCGCAGGTATTCCAACGGGTGTTTGTGTCCTCATCGCTTTATACGCTTTGGCACCTGCTTTCTACTACATCCCCAACGCTACTCTTTCCGCTTTGATCATTCATGCCGTGGCTGATCTCGTCGCTTCCCCGAAACAATCATTTGGTTTTTGGCGTGTCTCTCCTTTGGAATACCTCATATTCGTCGGTGCTGTCCTCTGGTCAGTCTTTTACACTATCGAATCAGGTATTTACTGGTCTCTCGCTACATCGGTCGTTCTTTTACTTTTCCGTATCGCTCGACCCAAAGGTCATTTCCTTGGTAGAGTCAAGATCCAACCTGAATCACCTGAAACTGGAGTGGTTCGTGATGTTTACGTACCATTGGGTGAACATGATGGTGTTACAAATCGTGATATCCCCGTCGAAGCTCCTCCTCCCGGTATCGTCATTTATCGTTTCGAAGAATCTTTCCTTTACCCCAACGCTTCATACATCAACGGTCGATTAGTCGAATACGTCAAGAAACATACTAGAAGAGGTAAAGATATGTCTACAGTTCCTAAAGGTGATAGACCATGGAACGATCCAGGTCCTAAACCTTCCGCTGCTCATGCTGAATACGAAGCCGAAAAATCCAAACCACGTCTTCGAGCTGTCGTTCTAGACTTTACAGGTGTTGCTAATTTGGATACGACTGGAGTACAAAATCTCATTGATACAAAGGTGGAAGTTGAACGATGGGCAGATAGGACGGTGGAATTTCATTTCTGTGGTATTCTCTCTCCTTGGATTCGTCGTGCTCTTATAGCTGGTGGGTTTGGTCAAGGTCAACCTAGAAGTGGAACAGCATTGGAAGTCGCACCTGTCGTCCCTCAGGAAAATAGCAGGTCTCCGGTGGATGAAAGAAGGATAGAACGTGCCATTACAGGTGATGGATCTAACACACCTATCACTGGTAGTCCAAGCACTTCAGATTTCAAAGGATTGGATCATGGTTCAGTGGATTTCAAGACGGAGCATGTGACGGAATTGTATGCTGAATCGGGATCGGTTGAGAAGAGAGGAATAAGGAGAGGAAGTGATGGTGCGAGTAGTCATTTGAGTCAAAATACACTGCCTTTGTTGGATAGAGCGACACCTTTCTTCCATTTCGATCTTGCCGATGCTCTCAACTCGTTGGATTTGAGTAAAGGGCATGATTAGGATTGTGAATAGAAGATTAGAAGTTTAATGTCAGTCTCTCAGTGGGTTATATAGTTTTTGTTTATGCACTATCATGAATCAGTTGTCAAATCTTGCCGATTACACGTTGTGCTCAGCAGGTTTTCCCCACATACCCAGCCCCTCTCATTACGGATCGATAACTCATCAGTGGTTTTGACAAGGCAAGATGGTGAAAGATTTGAGTGTACGTCCTTCATTGCGACGACTATTGTTCATATGTGAAGGAGGTGAGATAGATGACAGGTCATTCGACGGGCCCGTATGATGTGATTGTTCGAAAGAGAACTTGTGATTGTTCGAGATTGTGCTTTATATTGTATTCGGGTCAATCAGGTGGGTATAGAAATGCATGCAGTTTCGTCAGTCGTTGAATACGTTCAAGCCCCTCCTCTACATCATCAGCATATATCTTCATAGGGATGGGGTAGAAGACATACACCAAGATATTATTTCTGATCGTTAGCTTATCTCTCCACTCAGGAATGACGACTTACATGGGTATATGAATCAATTTTACGAAGAACCCAATGAATCCCATGATGGCAAATCCTACCGCTATAGCTCTACACAGCTGGATATATTCTATCAATCAGTCATCCACGTAAGTCAATTCCCAACTGTCATAGATGACACATTCCACTATGAGTCTCGCGACCCGGAACTCTCCTTTTGCTATTCGAAGTCGTACCTCTGAGCTCTCATCATACGAGAGGAGTCACTCAGATGTAGAGTATCAAAGAGACGATGAGGGACAGGGATGTATGGGGGTATTGACATAAAGAGGTCACGCGTGAGGAAAGGGTTGTCAACCCACCTTTTTGAGTGGGTTTAGTACATCGGTTCACAAACTTCATTGATCAGCTTCTGCGATAGTCGTAGGTTGAGAAGCTTACCAGAGTACCCTCTTTAATGAATGCTTGAGGAACCTCTGCTAGTTCTCTTAATCTTTCAGACATGGCTCTATGCTGTAGGAAGGAAAGTTGGGTGAAGATCGAGAGATGTGGTACGTGGAGGAACGGCGTTATCGTTCCACGTGGTTTTAATCATAAAGTGGCACTTTTCCTTCTTACCTCCTTAGCGATCTTTGTAAACTTGTGCACCGCACACGTTGTATTGAGGTGTGAGTCAGTCATGAGCATAAGTATCAAGACAAACGCTCATGGAATAGAGCGAGATGGAAGTACCCCAAACAATCAACGATTTCTGTGTATCGCTATTGACAATCATAGAGTGACCGCTTCGCACCGCCGCGAGATCTTCCATGTTAGTCATTCATTTGAAGCGTTCTGCATTGGCTATGCATCTTGACCCATGCATGCATGCAATAAATTCTCGGCTATGACCAATATCATAATGCCCAATTTGGATCCCCTGACACACTGCCCGGCGCCGTGACCTCAGTGTAGACAAATGATTGTTTGAATTCCCTCGACCATCTATTTCCACATTTTGATTTTCCCACCGAGACCACCGAAGGACGCTCACCGTCATTCTCACCCCTACTGACCTGTCATCCGCTGCCCGATGGGTGCTGTTTATCATGTCGATACACACGAGGTTTGTACCCTACTGTACTCATACACGAGTCCCGGGCGTGTATCATGACCCTCCCCATACCGAAGGTCTAAACCAAGTCCGCTGATCTCTCTGTCACACATTAGGGTTATTACCCATCTTTGATGATTTGATCTTCAATCATGATGGTAAGATTTGAATTTGCTTCTGTTCAAAGAAGTAAAAGAAGTGAGGATGTATGATCCGTTGGCCGTTGGGTCGATTTGCAGGAATTCATTCGGTTTTCCAGACTTTCGGATCGGCCGGCGTGCCTTGATCGTCATCAAATCTCGGCCCCATCGGCGAGGAAGCACGTCATGTAGACACTTTCCAACGTCATTTTCACTCATCGTTGTACGTGCTTTGTGCTCAAAGTTTTCAATGCTTCAGAGTGGCGCGAGTGTCTATACCGTATGTCTTCACGACGATACAGTCGTTAAGTGAAATATGAAACATGATGTTGTGGAGTGAGAAAAGAGTAGATCTTTCACATTTTGTTAGGCCTCATGGATGTCGGATGTCGGATGTCAGTCGATCCTTGTTCTTAGATCTTTGATTGATTCAAGATGAGGGGGTAAGGAAGAAAGGCTAGAATTCATATCAAGCGAAGAGCGGTGATACCTTGCGCATACGCCAAGAAAAAGGTGTATACTTAGATGTCAATCTTTCCTTCTTCAAACACACTCGAGGATCCTGGCATCAAGGTGGACCGGTCATACTCGTATATAGGTTACAAACCAGGGACGAAAACATCGTGCAAATATAGGTAGTGATATGCATCAAAACCTGTATATCAAACATGATAAACGAGGAGATGATACGAAAGGTCAGATTCACAGACTTACGATTGATATGTGGAACATGCTAGGAAGATCTCAAAGATCAAAGGTCTGATAGCCGATGGCGCCATTTAGACCAAGCGCCCCTTGTTTCCTGTAACAACGTTTAAGTAGGGAAATTTGTCCCCAACAATGCATATATATATCGCGCTGTTCGTTCAACATTCCTTCGCTCCACAGAGTAAATTGACTTTTCGTTGAACAGTCGAAACTTGAAAGTAAAGAAGAGAAAGGATTGAATTCGTCACATTTTGGAAAACAGCCACAAATCGAGAAAGAAAAAGTTCCAAGAAATCATGACTTCCCTCGAATGTCCTTTCTTCGCCTCTCAACTTGACAATAATGCTTCTACTCCTCCTCCTCAGCTTGAAAATTCCATCGACAAAGACATATCATTCAATCATCATGTTCATTCTCAAATCTCGAGATCACCATCTCCACCAAGTGACAAATCTGATACTTCCACTTGTCCTTTTTCCGGAACATCATCATCTACGACTTTATCAACTCCCGGTTCTCCTTCCCTCAAATCATGTAATTCTCATATCTGTCCAGAATCTTACAACACTCATTCCTCAAAGACACACCATCACATATCCTCAATTACACCAGATGAATCGCCTAAAAACGTGGTGGGAGGGAAAGACATTCATGTAAACCATACCGAACTAGATAACATCGAAGCGGATGATGAAAAGTCGGACTCTACAAAACTACAACGATCTGCTTCTGATTTCCAAGCTCATCATCATCTTCCACCATGTGATCCTCTCCTTCCCGGCCAAGCCATTCTATATCTCCCTCCACTTCTCTCACCTCTTCCTCATAACGTTTCACATGGTCATGCGGAAGGAGAAAGACCAGAGGCCTTGGCGGAATTCACCACTCGGCTACCTGACATCGACCCGGCTAGTTTGGCTTTACACGAGGCTTTACATGGGTTCAGACCAAAGGAAGAATATGCGAGTTTATCGTATGATGAGGCTTTTAATTGGCACGAGTTGGTGAGTGAAACATTTTGTTACATTCCTTTTCCTCAAATCCTATACAACCTCTGTCCGTTCTTCTGGTAATCGTCTATGTCATATACGGAAAATGATGGCGCTTGTTATTATTTCGGGCGTGAAAAAAAGTGTGCGATAACAAACGGCTGGTGCAATGGGGAGAGAAAACGGACCCTATATCGATCTTCCTCTGGTGAGAAAACATGTAGGTGGGGTGAGTGGGGATAACATCCTGGGCGTCAGATTCGGATCCAAGTATCAAACCATCAAATCACGAGGACGAGGAATCAAACACAAAATCTAGATCTTTCAGGGAAGAGTGCAAAGAGGAATGGTCATCATGAGGAAAAAGTAGAAAAACATATACTGACATTCAGTCCCTCCCACTAGAAATATCTAGAGAATGGTATTGCGTAGTCTTTCGATCCGTTCGAAATCCAGCTTCCTCCTCACTATCCCTCTATGCTGCAGATCGTGCAGCACATCAAGAAGCAGTCCAAAATGGTGGTCTCGTAATGTATTGGTACGGTGCACCTTCTTCCACAGGTGAGAATCTAGCGACTTGTATTTGGCAAAGTAGACGACATGCCGTGAGGGCGATAGCGGGACCTAGACATATGGAAGCTATGAAACATGCCAAAGGAGCTTATGAGAGGTACGAGTTGGAACGTTGGGTTTTGAGTAAGAGTGAGGGTGAAAAAGGAGTGAGATTAGGGAAATGGGAAGGTGGAGATGTTGGATGGTAGTTGAGTCGTTGGCCGTCGGACGTCGGATTTGCGTGATGGTGACTTTGACGACTTTGCATCGGATGTTGTGTGTTGTGACGTTGGCATGTGGAGGAAAGTGGCGGTGGTATGAGGGTTTGACGGATGATCCGTTTGTCATGACTTTGACAGATCAGTGGGCGTGGGGATGAGGAATGTCGGAATGTGGAAATATGAGTGAGGCTGTCTTGGTCGTGTGAGGTGGGGAAAGGAAGGGATTCAATCGAGTGGGGATATCGGTAGTTTGCGGTGGGGAATAAGGTGATCGTGAGATCGGCTATCAAGTGCAAGTGTTCGGCTGTCGGCTGTGAGTTGTCGAGTGTCGGTTCGGGTGAACCGGACAAAGGATCAATGTGGATCATGGGTACCATGAGGATCAAGTCAGGAGAAAGAATGTGTAGGGCGGAAAATCTTAGCTGGCTGGGATTGAATCGAAATAGAATAAATTGTGTAGCGTATCTTCAAAACCATTCAAAAATCACTATCATTGTACATATTCTATTCACCTTCATGATTCAAAATTCATACTTGTACATAGCATTATTGTGTATGCATCATCAGCATGTTTCTATTTCTTTGGTGACGAAGTGTAGTTAAAGTTTAGTGACGAATTGAATTTCGCTGGCACTTGGGAGAAAATCGTCTTGATATGTGTCATGGTCAGTGTTGTCAAGAGTGTCGAGTCTTTGATCATTCGAGACTATACTCAGTCTAATGTATCTAGATGGCAGTAGAGTGAGTAGGTGGAATAAGGAAACAGAGAAGCCATGATCAATTCCCAATGCCTGCATCGGACGTGCCAGCACGTAAAAACATGAAATCTAAACAATATATGACCCAAATCTTCAAAGCGTCAAGCTTTTACCTTTTAACTTATAGATACCTATCAAAGGCAACAACATGGATTCATCACTTGGATGAATGTCCGTCAGAACGGGAGTGGAATTGAGAGGTGATTATGAAGGAGGAGTGCATTCATCGCATGTCCTATTCATCAGCGATAACTCATTCTTTCAGACAGGATGATATAAAGATGAAGAGGAAAAAAATGAACAATCACTCACCAGGTAATGTCAAAGATACCGGCACTGACTGGATATCCGAAATCGCCCCATAATCCAGTAGACATGTCAATGGAACCTTCGTCACAACCCCTAAAGTAATCAGCCACGTACAATCTCAATTTATTCCGACAGGGAGGTCATGGACAGAACTTTAAAGCGGAAGTGGAAACTCACGGGCACAAATCTTGAATGGGAGCTTGCACGGTCTTGCCGTTGGCAGCGGTGATGTTCAACATCCTTCCGCAGTTGGCTCCGCCTTGATACCATTCCTCGCGAACCGCGACGAGGTAAGTAGAGTCCGAGTTCCAGTTCCCACAAGCACCTGGGTTTCCATCTTGAGTGAAGAAGGTTGCGATACCTTGCGTGTCAGCTTGTTGCATTCTCATCTTCTTTTCCAATATTGTTGATGTGCAGGTGTTTCGACGAGTAACAGAGACATGCGGAATGGTGTGTATTTGGGGTATGGAAAGAGGAAGGTGTCAGGTTTAGGTATGAAAGAGGGATCGAGTATAAGAAATGAAGAAGAGAAGACTCACCTGATACCGTTTCACCTGAAGAACCACCCGACGAAGGAGATGGTGAAGGAGAAGCAGGTGCTGACCAAGTGGTTGTACTCGAAGTGGTCGTCGTGGTAGACCAGGTGGTCGATGAAGTGGTGGGCTGGGGAGCATTGCTAGGTTTGGCAATTCTCATAGCTGCGGGAGTGACGTCGGAGGTCGCACTTGGTGTCGAGGTCGTGGATGCTGAAGATGTCGTAGGTGAAGTAAAGGCATCATCCGTGGCTACAGATTCCACATCTGACCAAGTGGAGACTGAAGAAGATGAAGAGGATGATGGCTCAGCCGATCCCGATCCGGTTTCCTCTTCCTCCGGAACCCATTCCCATCCCTCTGGACAAGTCTCACTATCGTCATCATCGTCGTCGTTATCATCACCTTCACAATCATCAACATCGTCGTCATCTTCAATCGATGTAGAGTTGGAGATATCGGTACTACCTTGAGAACTCCATCCACTCCATTGATGTTCATGTCCAGTCGAGTTGGTGAGATCGGTGATGTTTTCCCAAGTCGCATCGTCCCAAGACGAATTGAAAGAGGTTATATTATCCCAAGTCGAGTTGAATAAAGTTCCGTTGAACCATGTCGAATTGGAATCAGTCGAGTTATCCCAAACGAACAATGTGGTGTTGGTACTTTCAGATTCGCAAGCGTCGTCTCTTCTGATCTTACGAATGTGGTGAGTTTTATCACGGTGTTCTCGTCTGTGAAGAGTGTTGATGTGACCCGCAGCCACGACGAGTGGGGTAGGTGCGGCGTTGATTTGCACACCAGCCAGGGTGGCAATGACGAGGAAAGCGATGAAGGATTGCATTGTTTTCGATGATGGGTTGTCGATGAAGTGGTGGAATGAAGGGGTTTTTGTATGCTATTGTTGGCGTAATGAACGTGGGTGGGTCGATTGTCGTTGATGATATGGACCTGCTATGCGTCAGTGATCGATGAGTCGTGAGAGGTGTCGTGAGATTTGCAATGAAGAGAGGGGAGAAGAAAGAGGGCGAGAGGGGGGGTATTTAAAGAGAGAGATAGGGGGGAGAGAAAGAGGTGAAGAGAGAAAGAGGATTTTTAGGGGGTGTAAAATGGGTGTTTGATGTGAAGAAGTGAGGCCAAGGAGAGGCACCCGCAAGCCGCAAGGCCGCATAACCCCATAGCGCATGGCCTAAGGACTTTAAAACGAAATGAAATCGCAGCATGCGCATTTGATTCCAAAGACACCCTCCTTTAGTCTGATCGCCGTCACGTCACCTCTTTCAACAGCCTGGAACATTGCTGCAATTCTCCATGCTGCGTGCTGATTGCTGATTAATTGACTAAGATACTCACTGCATACCCTTCTTTTAACTGCAGGCAGGTTACACGGAGATATCCTCACCGCAACCTCGTGGCATGGCAGCGGGTCATACGGTTGTACTGTGGTGTTGCGGCGATGCGGCCTGCGGTATGGGCACCGTGGCAGGGGCAGAAAAGCAGAAAAGAATACAGGGTCACAGGTTAAACGCGATCGACTACCAGTACGCGTTTCATTACGTAAGTCATCCCCACTCTTCTCCTCGGTTTAGAGGTCACTCGTATACTCATCCTCGTCCAATATCGTCAGCCATGCATAGTGCGTAGTAAACCATTCAATGTCTCACCTACTCACCATGACATTTAGTACAGTAACTTATAACTTATCTCGTCATCAATACTTATCATATCGTTCTCACTAATCGCTAATTCTGACAAAACGATCGAGTAAATTCATGATCTCTTTAATCCGGGGCCCCACAAGGTTGCTCAACCTCCTCCCAATCCCCTTCTTACGTCGCATCTTCCCCAACTCGAAGCGAATTAACATCCCTCCCAGTATGGTAAAACAAAAACGAGCTCCCGTCTCTGAATCAGAGGAAGGATCAGCTGTCTCATCTGAAGAGGTGACGACTTCAACGTGCGTGTGTGAGAGGGAGACTGATGGATAGGAAGTGAAAAAGCCGATCAAGAAGGTCAAGAAGGAGATCAAGGAGAAGAGCAAGTCCAAGACGGATGAAAAGGTGCTTGTCGCTTGTCACTTCTCTACCCACTCCGTGGTATGACTTTTTGGGGACATCAGACAGGGAAATGGCAGTGAGATCCGTGAGACGGCAACGTGGCTGATGCGAAAAGACCGCAGGAGGGATCCAGCATGACGATAAAGGACAACCTTTCTTAGCGGTAAGTCTGCTGGTTCACTTCCTCTTGATTAGGTCTTAAAATTGAGATGATGTGAGAGAGGGTTTATTTCGAAATCAATGGCTAATCCCAGTTATCGGATTATCGCAGAGTCTCAATCTCTAAATTCCAAGACAAAACCTTGATCGATATCCGAGAGGTGAGTACCCTTCTTTATCATCCCTGTCTCTCTACTCTCCCTCGTTTCCCCTCAGATGGAACGTGTAGATCAAATCTACCCGACCACCCTGCTCAGTGATGGGATGGTCATAAGATTCCAAGATAATCAGCTGACGAATAGTACTACAAAGACAAAGGATCGGGGGAGATGAAGCCCGGCAAGAAAGGTATTTCTCTCACATGCGAGCAGGTGAGTCTTCTCCTTTTTCTGTCTTTACTTCTTCACTATGTCTTGTACATTCTTCTCTTCTTCTATCTTCTCATCCTCTTGGCGCATAAGTATATTACGCCCTCTTTCTTCTCTCCCCTCCTCATTCCGAACTCCGACAATCTAGCTGCATTCATCGGACTGGAGTTGACAAACAGTGGGAATCTTTTAAAGGAAACATCAGCTCTATCGACAAGATGTTATCCGACCAAACCTAATCGTTCGGATTCTTGCTGCCAACGAATCACACTATATGCATGTCCAAATCTATCATTTCGACAACATCGACATCTTCCTACCGTCTTCGCGATCAGTGCATCAGAATACTCACCGGCGTCTTTGTCTTTTATCAAAGCTCGACTTGTACTTTTTTGTCGTATGGACTTGACTTTGACCGTTATCCCTTCTGTCCCGATTCTCCATCTCCTGTCTCTCCCTCGCTTGTGACCCGGGCTGACTTTGGGTGTACGCTCCACTCGGCTGAAAACGATCTTCCGTTACAGGTCTTTCATCTGCCGCAGCTCCAACTACCCATTCGCTCATCTCTCCACCCATCATTTCCCTGCTCATCCCAGGAGGTGCTGCAATAGAATGAGAAGAATCAACTATCGATCTAGTTACGAAGCTATCTTCCATTCGATCCACTTGTTCTCAATCTCCTTGCTCGTCTTGCTCCATGCCCCCCTCTTCCTCATCTTCATCGTCCGAGTAATATCTTGGAGGGGTTTGAGCGTAAGTCAAAGATTCTCCTCCTTCCAAAACGGGCATATCATGTCCAACAAACCCTTGTGACTGCGAATCACTCCTCCTGAAACGCCTGAGACGCCGAAGGGGACCACGTATGGTGGTGGGGACGGATAAATTGGTGAGTTGAGACACGGTGGGAATATTCACAGTGGGTAACGATGGGAAAGTGGGCATTGTTAACGCTTATAATTAGATGATAATACAGAGGGGAAAAAGAGCATGCATCAATTCTACATGTCTCTATACTTATCACATTCCACTCACACGCATAAAACCAGAGACGATCGAATAAAGTTCAGAGGATAAGTTGAACGGAGAAATATTCGACGGAAGGGGTAATTATCTAACGGCGGTTCGGCCGTCCTGGCCCGATTCTATCGGCTAACACTCCCCCACGGGACAATGCACGACTCTGCAGTAGTCCCGGACGATTTATCGATGGCGACGGCGGGGTTTGTGATGATGTAGAAGGTAGTAATGACGAAATATTGAGTGTTATGTGTGTGGTAGTAGTGGTAGGTGAAATCGTGAAATGAATTTCGGTGGGGCCCCCTGCGGGGCTCCACTCTGACACGTGGTTACCACTCACTACTGACGACTGACTCTTCTCTATCATTCCTTTTACTTCATCACTTTTATCTCCAATTATCGGTATGTCCACCTTTCGTCTTTCTCCACTTTTATCACTCGTTTCTGACTGTCTGAGCTTCCCTCTATCCTGTCCACTTCTTAAAGCTTCAGGTTTGCTAGTAGACTCCCGAGAATCGATGAATTTCCTTCGTGGTCCTGGCTGACGATATTTCGTAGAACCGCTACCCACCGAGAAACTTTTATTTTCATTAACAATTTCATTATGTCTTCGCCACTTCCCGGTGGTATCGATCCCTTGGTTCCTCTCCTGAGGCCTGGTGAGGCTCATGGTACGCTCATTAGTCACTTTATCATGAAAATTATCTCTGACCAGCTGAACTGTCGGATATCTCGGTCCGTACCTTGGAGGCGGCCTGTCGACAGATCCGTTTCCTCCGAAGGTTGCTTGTCTCTCTCTCGAACGCTGGTCAAGGTGCATCTGCACCTTTCTTCGACATTCTTTACGATCTCGAAAGGGCCTGTCAGCATGTGGAGAATTTGTTGGGATACCAGATCGATGACAATTAGTGTCATGTATCCTCCCATCTTTTCTCTCTCTTATCTTTTCCTTCTTTTCCTTATTTCTCTCTCTTAACTCTCTAATGAGTCTAGGTTCTACCGGTGGCTTCTGACCTATCTTAGAATTACTCACATTCTTAGGTACACCTGAAAATTTTACATTTTGGCTCACGAGAACTTTTCCTTCGGTGGTACCTTCGGTGGGTTTCTCTGAAGTTCCTTCCACCCACACTTCTCTCTCTGGTACCGACTCTGTCTGTGGTACCCCTTCGTTCTCTGGTACCACTTCGTTCTCTGTACCACCTGATAGATCTCCTAGATCCTCGAAATCTGAATAATCGTAATCGATGATTTCATCATCATCTAATGTCACGTATACTGAACCAATGTTTTTCTTCTTCGGTGGTTCTACCCGTATCGCTGACATATTCACCGAATGTACTGGTCCACCTAAAGCCTTCGTGAGTACGTCTGCCCTCTGAGAGACAGTGCTAACGTATTCTAGTTCAATAACCTTGTTACTGACTAGATCTCGAAGAGCATGATGTCGAATATCAATATGCTTTGTCCTCTGGTGAGTACCAGGTTTCCTCGCTAGTGATATCGATCCTTGGTTATCGCAGTTTAATGTAGTAGGATTTAGCTGATCGTAGCCTATCTCCCTCAATAATCCTCTCAACCACTGAGCTTCCTTCGCTGCTTCAGCCATCGCGATGTATTCTGCTTCGACTGTCGACGACGATACTGTAGCTTGTCTTTTTGAACTCCAGGTTATCGGTGAGTTGTTCATCATGAATATCCAACCTGTAGTTGATCGTCGTGTGTCTTTACAACCTGCCCAATCGGCATCAACCCATCCTGCTAGATCGCTAGCCTCGCCACCGAGACGAATACCATGTAAACGAGTGGACCGAAGGTAGGTAATTACCATTATCCCTTCTTCCCATACTTTCTTCGTCGGTTTAGTGAGGTACCTAGCAAGGTATGAGGCGGCATATGATATGTCGGGTCGAGTACATGTGGCTAACCACTGTAGACATCCTATTAATTCTTGAAATGGTCGAATTTCACTCTCCGCCTCCGACATCGATGGATTTTTCGCAGTAAGGGGTAATGGCGTTTTTCGGTCTCGATGTAAGTCGTTTTCTGGAAACTTCTGAACTATCTTATCGATATATGCTGGTTGGTTTAACCATATTGTCTTTTCTTCTCTGTTCCTTGTTACCTTCATACCTAAGATAGTACTTATCTCCCCCAGGTCGGTTATTATCCACCTTTTACCTAGCCCATCGAAAATTTCCTTCGCTTCTTCCTTCGACTTCGTGGCTAATACCAGATCATCGACATAGGCTAGCAGTATTGCTGCTCCCTTTCCTTCGATTTTCCCTTCTGGTCTGTAGTAAAGACCCCAATCTGATTCGATTCTTGAAAAACCTAGGTGAGATAATCCTTCGCCGAGTTCTATCCACCATGTCCTGCCAGATTGCTTTAAACCGTAAAGAGACTTAACTAACTTCAATGTATTACATCCAGGCTTCGGTTTTATCCCCTTGGGATACTTCATGTAAATTTCTACATCGAGTTTACCGTTTAAATACGCCCCTTCGACATCGGCCTGACGAATTTCGAGATCTTCGGTGGCCGCTATAGTCAAAAGTATTCGTAACGACCCCGATCTACCGACAGGTGCGAATGTCTCTTCGTAGTCGACACCTGGTACCTGTGAGAATCCTTGAGCTACTAGTCTGGATTTATACTTTAGTAAGTTTCCTTCTGAATCTGTCTTCACTTTGAATACCCATTTACATCCAATGGCTTTACGGCCCGGTGGTAACACCGTTTCCACCCATGTTTCTTTAGATTCGATGTTAGATATCTCTTTCTCCATGGATTCCAGCCACTTCTCACCATCTGGGCCGTTTACTGCTTCTTCAGGAGAGATAGGATCAATGAGAGAAGTATCACTTTCGATACCTGCGATAGAGGCGAGTGAGACTAACTTATTAGGCTCGCGACCAAAGTCTAGGAACGAGTCTGTTAGGCCTGCAAAACGGTGGGGGGGTCGAATAATTCGTCCGTGACGTGTCGTCAGGATCCCCTCATCCCCATCATTTCTTCCTTCCTCATCATTTCTCTCATTTTCGACGATATCGTTCTCATAGATCCAATTTCCTCCCCAAATGCCCTGTCCTCGTCGTCTTTCAGTAGGTTGTGGGCCTGTATTAGGTGAGTTGTCTCTATCGACATCATTTCCTTGTTCATTATCGATATTTTCCTGTTCGCCACTTTCTGAGCGGTCGTCAGGGAAAATCTCTTCGTTGACGACGGGGTCTAGGTCCACTTCGATGGCGTCAAGAGGGGTTTGGATGACATCTGGCGACTCTCTAGTAGCCACCATTCGTCCTGTCGAGCGACGAACGTCTCGTGAGTGTTCGATTCGTCCCGATCCGTCCATTCTAACGATCCAACCGCTCACACCCTCATCCTGACCTAGTATAATGGCTGACGAACCCCTAGGTATCGTGAAGTTCGACTTCAGCCTTATCTCTCTTGGTATCTGAACGAAACATCGTTCACCAAATCTCCACACGCTATCTAAGTTCGTGTCTCTTCCTGTGAGTGATGTCCAGCCTGATTTACCACTGACACCAATCGAGGTTTTCATAATTATAATGGCGGCGTATCTGACAGCATAGGACCAATATTCGTTCGGTAGTCCTGAGTCGAATAACATCGTTGATACCATCCCCTTCAAGGTACGTATCATTCTTTCCGCCACTCCATTTAATTCTGGTGTGTATCTTGGTGTGATGTAGTGGTTGATCCCTGCTGACAGGTAGAATTCCCTCATATCGAGGCTATCGAATTCACCTCCCCCATCAGACCTAATCACCCTCACCCTTTCACCAAGCTGTTTCTCTAATTTCGAGATACACTGTCGAACGATATCTGACGATTCGTTCTTCGTCGTTATCGGTACGGCGAACACAATTCGACTCGCCCTTTCTACACCAACGAAGAAATATCGTTCACCTTTTATCGCCGGACCGAACGGGCCAGCAATATCGACATCCATTCCTACTCCTTCACCATCTCCTTTTAACATTGGTGCTTCTTTATTCTTCGGTAGACGTGTTATCTTGGCCTGCATACAGGCGGGACATTTATCGGTTGTAAAGGGATCGTTCTTGTAAGTGTCCCAGTCCTTCTTCAATAGTCCCTGTCTACCTAGACTCTTTAGTTTATCTACACCTATATGTCCGAGTCGCTGATGCTCAGATTCAAGTGGTGAAGTCGCCTTCGGTGTCGATATCACGATCAT